GTAAATCAAAGTGTTAATGTGAGTTGGGGTTTGATGTTGATCCTTGTTGTTTATAGGGATTTCTGACTCTCTTACTGTGACGTTTGGTTTTACGGTTGCGTGGACACCAGGTAGGGGGTCTTCACTCCTTGGTTAGAGGTTTTCCTATGTATATTGTGAATATTGATGCGTGAGAGCTCTGCATCGTTTTTGGTTGCTAGTATGCATGTTAGGGAAATGGATTTGATTTTTTACAGCATGCCCTTCTTGTGATACAATTGATACTTAATTTGTGACCTGAGAGTGAAAGGAGCCGTGTGACTTGTATGGATGAACTTGTACTGATGTAAAAGGTATGAGTTTATGTGGTACGACGTTAAAAGGACACTCTTGCTAACCCTTACTGTTGTGTTGAGTTCTTAATCAGGTATGGGTAGTTGGTCTGTTGGAACCGGTCACAAAATTTGTGGTTATTGAGGCCTTGTATTCTATCATCTTGCTTGAGCATGAAAGCTAAGTTGACTCGGCCAATTGTTTTTGTTGTGCATGCTTTCCTCTTATAGTGTTAACTATATTTAAGGGTTAATTGGTGATTTGCTCCCTAAAATTGAACTAAAATAGTAAATCTCACTTGCAATTGTGTAGTTCATTGCAATAGAGGGTGCTATATGATGAACCCTTTATTGAATTGCAATAGGCTAATCATGGGATCCACATGCCAATAAACTGAAACTATTGAACTGTACCATTGCAAGTAAAACTGTAGTTCAATTTAATAAATGCCAAAATAGTTCAATTTATTGAACTATTGAACAGCCATTGCGGATGCTCTAATGAAAAGATAGATCATTGACGAATACACTATATAGTCAAGAAGATGCTTTTTTTTAAAAAACTCAAAATAAGTTTTGTTTTTTAAAGAAGTAAAAGTTTCAACCAAGATCAGCAACGGATCTGAAAACTATATAAATCAATCAAAGTTATTAATTATGAAGTTTATATCAATAGGAAAATGATTAAATCAAATACAAGTATTATCAGTAGAATGTTGTTCTCGACGAAAGAATCTTGAACCATATTACTCAGAATAAGTTATGATGCATTGACATATGGCCTATGAAGTATTATGAGAAGTTATGATGCGATTGTAGCTGCCAATGTGCATTATTTCAACACCAAGCACATTTTCCGCCCTTTTTTTTCCCCTGATAAGAGCCTTTGCAAAGGACTTTTTAACATTTTGCTGAATTATATATGGTCATGTGAATTTTTCAGACTTAGATTACTTATCTCGTTTCTTTTCTTTTCCTGCAAAAAAGAGTTTAATACCCAAAAGAATCATTACATGTTCTCTCTACTATTAGCTCAACCAGATGAACTGTACAAGTGGGAAAGGGAGGACCCATTACAATTCCAAAATCTCTGAAATATGTGAAGTGCTGCTCAAGAAGAAAAAGTTTCAACTATACAATATTATATTCTTCGCAAACTTAAAGACCATCTATTTCTCAGTTCCATCATGTTTTTCTTTTTTTTCTTTTTTTTTTTCAAAAGGGAACGGTAACTTTAGATTTTTTATATATTTATAATGCTTTCCCTTTTATTTACAGCCAATCCAACGGCTGTGTTTGATTTTTTTAAGCCCAATGCTTATTGATTTATTTCAAGTTTTTCAACCCAATTTTTCCTTTTAAATACCCGCCTCATTTCTTCTCCACCAGAGAAACAGTTTTTCAACGGCTGTGTTTTTTTTTCTTTTTTTTTTTCAAAAGGGAACGGTAACTTTAGATTTTTTATATATTTATAATGCTTTCCCTTTTATTTACAGCCAATCCAACGGCTGTGTTTGATTTTTTTAAGCCCAATGCTTATTGATTTATTTATTTATTTATTTCAAGTTTTTCAACCCAATTTTTCCTTTTAAATACCCGCCTCATTTCTTCTCCACCAAATACATTTACAGAAAATAAAAGACTAAAAAGGAAAATTAGCACGTAAGCTAAATTACAACATAAAATTTAGAGCCTCAAATGTAAAGTCCAGACGTTCCATCATATGTTGACAGAAAGCACATCTGCCAAAAAGATGAGAAGTTGCCTTGAAGGTTCCTTGCCCTTCACTTCAACACGTTGTAGGTACCGTCACATTACAAAGAAACTGCCTCGGCTGACTAGTCTATAACTAAATCCCATAGAGACTAGTCCAAAGAAGTATAACTAAGTCCCATAGAGACTAGTCCAAAGAAACAGCCTCGGTTGCCTCGGCTGACGAGTCGTCAACATTGCTATTAGACTAGTTTGCACTTGCACCGAAAGTTCTTCATACAATGAAATGAAACATTGTTACTAAAATATCCCTATAATCATTTGAATAAAAGTGAAAAAACAAAAACAAAAAAAAAAACTTTGAGTGTTTGTTTTTTTAATTTCTCCTTAAATTTTATCTAAGAAAGCGGTTTTGAGACAATGTTGTGAAGAGATGTTAGTAAAAAAGAAAAAAGCATCATCATGAACCGATGAAAGAAAGCTGTTGCGCCTCAGAAAGGAAGTACCACTATCAAAGACAACGTTGAAGGTTCTTTTCCTTACCCTTTACTATTATGGCTCCACGTGCACTTAGAAGACTTTCATCACAAGACTAGGAGTGTGCCTCTTCTTTTTATTTTTGTGGCTATTCAATTTCTAACATGTTAAATCATGTTACACAGTAATTAGCCACTGCTTAAAGACATTGATATGCCTTTGCTTTGAATGTGTTTCTTCTTCTAGCAATTTTATATTGTAGCGAAGGCACTAAAATTTCTACTTGATTTGGTATGGTATTGGTACTTATGGCCCTTTTGGTTTTGATTGTATGAAAATACTCCTAGCTGTGATCAGATTTATTTTAACATTTTATAATTAGTTTATATCACATACTTCACAGGGTGATCTACCGTGTGAAGCTGCTTTAGACAAACATGGTGCAGCAAAGGTACAGTCTAGTTTGTATTTGGCCTGTTTTGTAGGTAAAAGAAAAGGGTCAATGAGGGGCAATTGACACCAACTGTCCGAGTAGGTATCACCGTCCAAGAGGAGAAGTTTCCTTGAAGGTTCCTGACCATCTACTTCAACACAATCACAATGTAGTGTAGGTACGTAGCATAAGACAGAAACTGCGTTGGCGTATAAAAAATTACCATTCAAGTCAATGGGAAAATGGGATAGGGAGACAGAAGACCCCATTAAGATTACAATATCTATATATAAAATTTTAACCTCACAAATCTTGATAATATTAATATATATAGTGAGGGCTGGTAAACAAAAGAAAGAGTTCCAACTAGTCTATGACAATATAAATATACATTTTTTCAAGTTTCCACAAACTCTGACACTTTTGAGTTCTTATCTTCATCAGGAAAGCAGAGGTCAAGGCAAGGGTTAAAATCCATGGCAAGCTTTGTTATTTTTAAAATATTATTTGGACTCAACAGTGTTTAGAGAGAATAATATTTATTTGAAGTTTGACGTGTCATATTATAGGTCTTTGTATTATTATAACGATTTAAATGTAACAAAATGCAGGTAAATGCATTCAAAATCTTGAACAAAATACCTATTTATCATGTAGTGAAAGAAAGCGAGTCACTGTTAAAGATAAGAAGTTACCTTGAAGGTTAGTACGCTTGAAAGTGGAAGCGGGCTAGGAAAAGTGAGTTCCCACTTGGGGTTTGAAAATGAAGATGAAAAAGACCTTGTTAATGTTGCTGAGATAATATGGTTACTTCTGTTGTTGAGATAAACAACTCAGAAAACACATGAAAATCCAAATGTAGCACATGCACCCTCTCATGGATCATAACTCACATGACATGAAAGCAACTCTGTAATTATTATTTTTTATATAGCAATTTATATCAATTGCAAATAATAGTAAAAGGTGGGACTAAAAATCCGGAAAATAAAATAAAATAAAATTGAAACATACCAAACCCACACAGCCCACCCTAGGACATGCACTGGAAGAGAATTGTTTGCCTCGGGGTCTTCTTTGAATTTTTGTGCCACTTACAAAACCACAATGGCTCAATTTTAGTATGCAGATTAAGGGTTAATTTTGACAAAAGTACTTGCGGAATTGTTGCCTTCCGGCTCAAACTTGTAAAAGATGGACAATTAATGGGTATTTTTGGACAATTGGTGCCTTCCTGCTCAAACTTGCAAAAAAATGTGTCATAGTTTTTTTTAACAAAAGTACTTGTGGAAGATACCAATTGATCGAAAATATCCTTCAATTGACATTGAAAGTAGCGAAAATGTGGGACCCATGCCGGCCAGGTAGACAATTAAGGGAAATTTTGATGGTTGAAACCATATTGCAAAAAATTAAAAAGATTAGGGTACATTATTATTAAAATTGAGAGTGCAAGGACAAATATACTTTAAGGTTGAGAGTTCAAGATACTAAATTGAAATTAACCCAAAAATTAATAAAAAATAGTTTTGTGAAAACAATTTAAAATCTTGAGGTGTGTTTGTATAATTTCTGAAACTCCAGGGAGTTTTGTGAAAGGACCAAAAAACTCAATGGGTGTTAGTGTAAATAACTCAATAAAAAAATAAAAAAAGAACATTAGCATGTAAACTAAATTACAACATAAAAAATTTAGAGCCTCAAATATAAAGTCTCGGACAAGTAGTCTTTCAAATTTATGTTGCCTCAGGTGAAAATCTTGGAGAAGTCCAAGCCTAATCATTGGGGAATATTACAGCGAACGACTGTGAGTCGTTGATAATAGTTCATAAAAATAGTTCGAAATCGTTAGACTTTGTCCAGAATAATTACTTTTAATTTTCGAAGGAATTACTTCCTTTTTTTAACAAAGTCGGCCAAATAAAAAAAATAGTGACAATTGCCTTCTTAGCTTTGGTATGATCTCCTTGTATGTAACGTAATCATTCTTCACTACTTATAAAAACTAAAATACAAAAGAAATATTCCAAAACTATGCATAATCTGCGTTTCCTTCATCTGAAAAATCAAAGAATGATATATAGCCCATTTCTGCTATATAGCAATACTGGCCATGTGATGTGCACTATCTTAAAGCAATTTATTCAGCAAAGACAAGGTAAAGGTAGTGCCTCAGTATGAAAAAAAAAATTCAGCGTTTGATGACTTGAAGTTGAAACGAAAGTTCCTCTCACACCTTTAACTTAATCACGTCCGCGTGGAAGGTGGTAGGAAACTGCTTCGTCAAGCCCTCATAAATCTAACCAGAGCGCCACTGTCATATTCAAATCTTTTAATTATCTGCCTCCTATCTATGACCACTCAACCAGTCTCTTCTTCTTCTTCTTCTTCTTCTCCATATGATGTGTTTTTGAGTTTTAGAGGTGAGGATACACGCACCAATTTTACAGATCATTTGTACAAGGCCTTGTCTGATAAGGGCATCTACACCTTCATTGATCGAGAGCTTACAAGAGGAGAGGAAATATCGCCAGCCCTTGTCAGAGCAATTGAAGAATCAAGAATTTCTCTCATTGTATTCTCTGAAAACTATGCATCCTCAAGCTGGTGCTTGGACGAACTTGTTGAGATCCTTCGATGCAAAAACTCTAAGAAACAAATAGTTTGGCCCATTTTTTACAAGGTGGATCCGTCAGATGTACGAAAGCAAACAAATAGTTTTGGAGATGCATTTAAAGGCCTTATTCAAAGCAAATTCAAAGATAACGAGGAGAAGGTGGTCATATGGAGGAAAGCTCTTAGAAAAGCAGCAAATTTGTCCGGACATACTTTCAAGGATGGAGAGTATATTTCTATCTTTATCTTTTTCAAGTTTAATTTTTTTTTCTCTCTTCGTTCTCTGGTTACACATTATTAAAGAAAAGTATCCCTTTTTTGGTTTTTGTTTTTTGTTTTTTTATATTTTCGATAGCTGTAGTGCATTATGTTTAATTTAGTGTCTTGATTCTATAGTTCACGGTTATCTATCTTTTTCAAGTTAACTTAATTTCTTTTTCTTTTTTACTTTGGTTACATTTAATTGTTACTCATTAAACAAAAGTATTCTTTCGTAAAAATATACAACTGTAGGGAGAAGATTTATTTTCTTGGGTACTTTTGTAATTTCGATAGCTGTAAGAAGATTTATTTTCTTGGGTACTTTTATATTAATCTCTTCAAAAGGCATACAAGTATAAATGATACATAACATTAGGTTTGTGGTTAAACAAGTATACATTTTTTTTCTTTTTCGATAGCTGAAGAACTATTACGTACTTCAGGATGTTTAAATCTAATTCATTAAATGTGTCTAATTTGGTTAAACTGGCAGGTCTGAAGCTACATTTATCAACGACGTTGTTGATGGAATCTTACGCCAAGTACTGAGACGCACATATTGGAATGTGGCCGAGCACCCAGTTGGAATTCAATCTCATGTACTAGATGTGAAAAAACTTTTAGATGTTGGTGGGAATGGTCGTCGCATAGTTGGGATATGGGGGACATCTGGAATAGGCAAGACAACAATTGCAAAAGCTATATGGAATGCAATTGCCCATGAGTTTCAAGGAAGTTGTTTCTTGGAAAATGTTAGAGAAGGAAGCTTAGTCCAGCTACAGAAGACTCTTCTTCATAAGTATCTAGGCAAAAAGTTGAAAATTCAAAGTGTTGATGAAGGAATCGGTGTTATAAAAGAACGGTTGAGGCATAAAAAGATTCTATTAATTCTTGACGATGTGGACGAATTGGAGCAGTTAGAAAAATTGGCTGGAGATGATTGGTTTGGTGAGGGTAGTAGAGTAATCATTACTACAAAAAATAGGAGATTGCTAGACAATCGTGAAATTGAGTTGATATACAAGGTGAAGAAGTTAGATTACAACCAAGCTCTTGAGCTTTTCAGTTGGCATGCATTCCGAATAAGTGAACCTCGAAAAGATTGTTTGGAACTCGCACAACATGCAATAGCTTTTGCTGATGGCCTTCCACTAGCTCTAAGAATTTTAGGTTCTCATCTTCGTGGTATAGATATACCACGTTGGCAAGTTATATTAGATGATTACGAAGGAGAACCTTACACGCATATTGAAAGAATACTTCAAAAAAGTTATGATGCCTTGGATCATTGTGCAAAAGAATATTTTCTTGACATTGCATGTTTCTTCAAGGGTGAAAAGAAGGACTATGTGCTACAAGTAGTACCCAAAAAATTCATCGAAGAATTCCTTGATAAGGCATTGATAACTATTGAATGGAGTAAGATTGTAATGCACGACTTGCTAGCAAACCTGGGCAAGGATATAGTTAGCAAAGAATCCCCCAATGATCCTGGCCAACGTAGTAGATTGTGGTTTTATGAGGATGTCAAACAAGTTCTAACGGAAAGTACAGTAAGTATCACATATGTTATTATATTCAATTTGGCAAGAAAGAATACCTGAGGTTACCTTAATTTTCTTAACAAAATGTGCTTGCATTTTGGTTTGTACAATGACTTCATTTCCTAATTAATGCTTTTCCATCTTAGGGAACAAGAATTATTAAAGGCATCGTGGTGAAGCTTCCAGAACCAGCTGAGATAATTTTGAATCCAGAATGCTTCCGTAATATGGTAAATCTTCAAATTTTCATAAACCATAATGCATCTCTATGTGGGAACATTAACTATCTGCCCAACGCGTTAAGATTTATTGATTGGCCTAGTTGTCAGTTACAATCTTTGCCACCCAATTTCCAAGGAAATCGTCTTGTTGGGTTCAATATGCTTGGCAGTCATATAAGACAATTGGAGGGATTTAAGGTATGTATTTGAAATTATTTTCATCTATTATATATAATTTCAAATAGAGTTGTTAGTTTCAGAAGGAAAAACACGAAATTTGTTTTCTAAGTTTTTGTCTTTTGAAGCGTGTGATTAATTATTTCCTGTTTTTGTGTTATTGTCTCACAGGATTTGGCAAACCTGACATATATGAATTTGAGTGGTTGTCAATTCTTAGAAAAAATCCCAGACTTATCCGGAATCCCAAACATAAAGTACTTGCATCTAAAAACCTGTACGAGTTTGGTTGAGGTTGATGATTCTATTGGATTCCTTGATAAACTTGTTAAATTGGATCTCAATGGATGCGTTAATCTTAGGAGGTTTGGAACAAGACTTAGATTGAAATCCTTAGAAGAACTTTTGCTAATGGGTTGTAAAAGGCTTGAGAGTTTCCCAGAAATAGAAGTGGAGATGGAATCACTACGGGTATTGAATATGGATGGAAGTGGCATAAGAGAATTGCCTCTATCAATTGCACATCTTACTGGGCTTGGATCTTTGAATCTTCGTGGATGCTTCAATCTTACTGGGCTTGAATTACGGCTGTTTTCTTGTTGGTCCACATTACATGATCTTTATCTATCTGGAAACAATTTTGTCACGCTTCCGGAATGCATTAACAAATTTGTGAACTTGAGCAAACTTCACTTGCGTGATTGCGAGAGTCTTCTAGAAATTCCACAAGAAGTGCTTCCACCAAGAGTAGATCAGATATACCTGGATAACTGCACATCATTGGAAAAAATTCCAAAACTGCCACTATCAGCGAAGTATAAGATACTGAGTTTGATCAATTGCACTAGACTACGTGGCTATGACATCACAGAAAATAGTATCCTGGATGAGGTTTCTGTCTCTTCTCTCTCTGTATCTCTCTGTCTCTCCCTCTATGTTATATGGTTAAGATGATGATTGTTGTAACCAATTGTATTGTAGGTATCTTCTCATCCGCATTCCAAATTTAAAATTACTTTTCCAGGCGATGAAGTACCAAAGTGGTTCAGCTGTTGTAAAGCTGTTGAATATTCCTCTAAATTTGGACGTGCTCGATGTGAAGTTTGTTTTGAAATTCCTCCAAATTTAGATTGGGAGACGTTAAGATTGGTTCTATGTGTTGTTAATAAAGGAAAGTCATATGTTCCAATTGATATTTATGATCCCAATAGAGGCATGGCAGAGACACTTGTTCATATCAATAGAAAAGAGGTCCGAACTGACGGATTTTTGGGGGCAGGGGAAAGTCATGTGGTTCTTAAGTGTATTCCATTATTGAATCTGAGAAACTTACGTGAACTGAAGCGATTGCAACAAGGTAATATGTGTCAAATTATATTTGACTTCTTCTCCACACCCGTTAACATCCTCTGCGGGGTCCACCTATTAGGCCACCAGGTTGTTGATGTCACAGTTGATCGTGGGCAAAGGCAGGGGTTGTTGCCTGATGCGATGGCAGTGAATGATGATATTCATGATGATCAACACCAAGACAACGAATTGCTTTCCTTGCCTTCAGCATCAGAGACTTGTCTTGGCAAGAGGCCTCGGTTATCAGATTTCATGGCACTTGATGATGATCATCGTGCTAACGTCGTCGACGTTGGTGATCATGAAGCTCAAAGAGGAGAGGCGGATCATCCAAAGAGGAGGCACACTGATCTTAACGAGGAGCCAAAGTATGTAAATCCATTAAATGTTGAATGATATCTTTGCATTTTCTGGTCATATATCTACATTTTGTGTTCAATTCAAATTTAGCAATATTGTGCTATGCGTCTCTGGGGTATATGTTGTAGTTGTCATGGTGTGAATTTTTTTTTCTTTTTCTTTTGGGTTATATCCTTTTTCTTAGCGCTCTACATTCGATATTAAATTTTCAGGCAATGAAGTTCCAAAGTGGTTTATGTAAGCCCCAGGTTCAGCTGTCGAAATGAACCAAATTTCCAGGGAATGGTCTGGTAATCAAGGGGCGTGTTGAGGCGCCAGCAATTTCTGAGATTCCATTTTAAGTTGCATAAGGCAATACCTTTCTTCTCAATTTATGCATCCAGCATTTATTCGCAGATGAACAAAACTTGTTGCAAGCCGGATTTATCTAATGCTTTCATTCCACACATATACTTTGTCTATGATTATTCTATCTCATTCATTGGAATTGATGTATGTCGGGGATGAAATGTGACAGACTTATCTATTTCATAATTTCCAATCAAGGTTTGTTGAAAATAAAACATTAATTGTAAACAGGCATCCAAATATGCCAAACATATTTTTGTTGAACGATTGTTGTCTCATTATGCTAGTGATGTTGCTGGTATTGGCAAGGTACAAGAATCCTAGCATGACTAAATCATGTCAAGTTGCTGCAACTCACGTTGCTGGTATAGTTGTCCAAGATTTTTTGATAATCCTGCAAGGACATGAAATGAAAAGCTTGATGAAAAGCGTAGTGTCATGCATATTATATTGTTTCGAACTCCTGTCTAGTTTGCGAATAGATTTTGGTTCTTTGAATACCAGTTGCTCTTTGAACAGCCCTGGTAGAGCTAACATCTCCAATGGCTCCATTACCCAAAAAGAATTTGGCTTTAGAAACTAAGAAAAAGACGGCAGGAATTATAACTTCTTTCTTTGTTCACGAAAGCGCATTATTATTGTCATTGCATGACCGGATAGCTACTGTTGATGTCGAATGTCCAATTTTATCCACCAAAAATTACAAGGGGCATCTCATAGTCAAAACGATAACTATAACTTACAATGTGAACTGACACCAAGTAAAACTTATGACAAACAGGAATGAATGTCCCTACAACACAAAAACAAAAATTCACTTCATACAGCATTATTATAACAAGAGAGAGGCACACAGCAGTGTAAATGTAGGCAAATATGCACGGCAAAACCATGCGTCCGTGGAGCGCTGCAAAGAAAAAGCTCCGCATTGAAATGGCTCAAACCAACATATTCAAAGCATCACCAGCTTGGTTATATTCCTACATAAGCCACGGTCCAACAAATACAAAAGCCTATACCTCATTCTTGCCACCATTCTTGGTGTATGGTGCCTTTACAGCTCTGCATGGTGGCCTTGAAACTTGTTTGAATTGAGTTGTATAGCCAGCCACACCGAAAGACCATGCAAACAATCTCGAATAATCATGATCAAAAGTTTGCCATTCTGAACAATTTTAGTCAAGCAAATCTTTAAATAAGTTGGGATTCTGACTTGTTGGGGTCACACCCGTCTGCCTTACAAGTGCATCCTTTTCCAAGGAATCTTTAGGGTCAGGATCCTTATTCAATTGTGTTACCCCACTTTGAGCAGTTCTTGTAGCATTTGATAACTCAGATGCAAGATTAAACTCAACCTATTGGTCGGCAAAGGTTTTCAAGCATATTAGAGAAATACAATTGCAAAATCCATGAAAAGAGCAACTTATAACGAAAGGGAAGAAATAAAATGCAGAACTATACATGTTCTTAATACTTTATAGGAGAAGTAAAAGAACGATACGAGTAGAAAATGCAATTAAATATGACCTCAATGTCTTCACAACTTGCGTCCGACGGCATAATATTATCAACTGCAGAAGCATCTAAGCTAAGTATGTTATTTCTAGCAACAATTATATCATACGCATTCAGCTAATCACTTTACAAACACTTTAATCATACACATTCAACAATTATATCATACACATTCAATTATATCATACACATGAGATGCCTCTTCAATCACTTTGGCAAAGCCCTATTCTCATATAATCACTTTACAAACTTTAATCTGATATATCATCACTTTGAAACTTGAAAGTACCAAGCTACCCTTCATATAAATAGATACTTATTGCCGACCCACTGATTGCCCTCGCTCCTCTCTCCCGCGCAGCTCTCTCTCAGCGCTCTCTTCTTCTCTCAGCGCTTTCTCTCTACATCGTCGCTCCACGACCACCACCACTCTCTTTCTCCCTCTGTCGATAAAACCTAAGCATCACTCTCTCTATCACTGCAGTCGATGTTAGGGTTTGTTGAGGGGGTTCTTGAAGGCTAATCTCTGCGTCCCTCAGCTGCCGGCCAAGGCTGTTCCTTCCACAGCTTCCTCACCAATACCTACAAGCTTACTTTCATGGAATCCCCTTCTCGCATTAAGGTAGCGTTTTCAGTTTTCTACGCCTCTTTTTTTTAAATTTTTACTTTCAGATCTTGAAATTAAGAATTATGGTTTGATTGAATATGAATATGAAATATTTGCTGCTTCTGTTGGCAAGTTTCTAGTATTAGATCTAGCGATTTAGGATCGGAAAGAAAGGCCTCTCCTCTCACTCAATTACATTATTGAACTTGAATTTGTGCTTAGCTTAGAAATTTGGACATGCGTGGTTGTGTTTGTGTATACCAAATTGTCATACAATTAGATTCATTCTTAATGTGCTGCTGCTTTCTTACTCTTTGTTTTGTGTTTGTGCGTGCAGATTATCTTGGTTACTCATCCCGCTCTACACTTCTGGAACTCCAATCAGGTAACTGGTTCAGTTTCGATTATCGTGATGTAGTACATGATCAATCTTCATAGTAACAAGTTTCATCTCCAATCAGGTAACTTGTTATTGTTAGTATTTTGTGAACTCTGTTAGAACCTGCCTACTTTTCTTTTTCTTTTCTATTGAATTAGTTTACTGGTGGCTTATCCATCTTTGATTAGAGTTAAATATATAGTGGGTGGAGATATAGAAGGGTGTAGGATGTGGAAGGGTTTCAGACCAGGGGTAGTATTCAAGAGGCTCTGCCCCTCAAGATCTCAACGAATTCCAACTTAATACCTTCTCTTAGCTTTCTGGGATTCTTCTTTTATTGTTTTTTTTTTTCTTCATGTTTTGCTTTGCGTTTGTGGGTTGTAGTCTATATGTAACATAAAACTTTGATTTCCCTTCAAAGTGAGGTATATTACCAAGGATTGACATGGATGTGCCATTCTTAACTGTTCATTATTTGTAGGGGTAGCTTGTGAAGTTAGATGTAGTTGGTATATCTTGTGAATGAGCTCAAGTTTAATATTCGTGTTAGTGATGGTGTTTTATGGAAATATATATTAAGGAATAGGTAAATGTAAGACTCGTGTATTTGGCTTAATGTTTCTTCTTCTTCTTTCATTGTTACAAAGTTCCATGCATATCTGGCGTGTGTACCACACCATTGCATGCCACTTCTTCCCAGTTGATTGCAAGTGATCTTTCCTGTTCCTGTTGTAAAAGCCCTTCTCTTCCCTGGAGCTGTTGCAAATGGTGCACCATGGTTATTTTCAAGGAAATTGCACCAATGTGATTACTTAAAACTTGTATTGGATTATTTGGAAACTAAAAATTAAACTCAGAGGATTATTCAAGTTTGTAGAAACAAATCACAAGAAACACTGAAAAACTTAAATGATACAAGTGTATTAGGCAAGGACTTACAGGTGGAGTATATCCAGGTAAATTTTGAGAGTAAGCAATCACGAAATCACCTCTTCTAAGCTTAATGTCCATATATATATAGAAGGAACCTAGCCTAGGGAGACAACATAGCACGTTTAACAGAATTGAACATTTTGGCAAGTTATATTAGATGGTTTCGAAGGAAATATAATGAAAACCAAGGAAGATATCAATTCCAGAAATTACCCTAATAAAAAACTTCCTTCTACCTATCATAGAACTCACGATCCTGCAATACCATATGATGGAAGATCTTTGTTTTGTTTCCACAAGTTTCAATCAACAGAACCTACAGATGACATTCCGAACCGGACAATTACCATTTTGAGACATCATTGACATTTGAAATACTGAAGGAGAGCTGGCTCCCCAGATAATTAATTGGAAGAAGAATGACAATCTCAACAATCACAGAGTTCAATGCTTGAGAAACGAAGCCCATGGGCTAAGAATTCAGGCAAAGATCATGTAATAATCGTGTTGGGGAAGAAGAATTCCTGGGATTTTTTTCACATAGAATGGTTCGGTTCTTGGGGCACTAAATTGTTGGAGATTGATCAAATGCAATACCCGATAAAGCTTTTAACTGAAAGGCAACCAAATGACATTGGAATCCAACATCCATCCACATTCAGATGATGATATCATGGCATGGAAATGGAAGATGTGAGCTGTGCTGGTGCAGCTGAGAACATAAGGTCCATATTGATCAAGCAGAAAATGGAAATCAAAATATAACATATTTTGAGAAGTTTATTAGATGATCTACGTGGCCAACTGTGGTTAACGTTAGCCTTTGATCCTTAATGCATCGCAAGTCTGTACGTAGAAATCTACCACCCTACAAACTGCTCTCAGCAAGTCTCAATTGCCACTGTATTCGTCTGGTGGCCTGAGCTTAAAGCATTAGTTCGCCCACCTGGGCTTTTATTTGAGGTTCCACATGGGCTTTGGACTCGTCGGTCTTTAAAAAAACAAAAACAAAAAAAGAGTTGGGGCTCTTGGCCATTTTGGAGGAATTTACATATGGCAGCCACTGAAGAAATGGACGGGGTAACTGTTGAGTAACGACTTTGGGCAAACCTCAAGCTTAATTGGAGGCCTGCTTTCATTGTCCTCTGTCATGGCTAGTCCCTATATTTTGAGAGACGCAGAGTTAAGAGTCTTTATATAAGTTTCATGTACACTATAAATTTGACTTATTTATGACTTCACCATGAGTATTGTTTGAAAATAGTTAACAGGGAACAAATCAAAGATGCAGACGAAGAACATAAAAATGAAAATGGGTTTCAGAATCAGTATGCAATGGATACCAAAAGAAACACACACATATTGAAAAGCTCACAAAATGATTTCAATAAAAACAGAAACGCAAAGGTCCAAATGTAATCGAACTGTGAAAGAGAGGAAAAGAAAAAGTAAAGGTAATGCTGGTCAAGGCATCTTGATGGGGGTGAATCCAGTCAATGAAGGCTAAACAATTGTGAAGAGACGTTAGTCAAAATGAAAAAAAACATCATCATGAACTGATGAAAAAAAGCTGTTGCGCGTCAAAAAGGCTAAACAATATTGACTTGTGTAAGACTACTAAGTTGCCCTTTTTCTTTTCATGTAAAGGATTCCTTTACTTCTTGAAAATGAAGTTATATTATATGAATAATGTACCTGGGTTAATGACCTAAATGGTCCCCCAACTATTGCTTCATTATCATTTTGATCCACCAACTAAAATTTTTAATTCAAACATCCTTAAACTTTTTATT